AAAACACTATGATCACTAGTTCGGAATGGAAATTCCGATAAGCAGATTGATAACCGGATTGAAAGGATTATCGATTTTCTGGATGAAAGCAAATTGAAATCCCCAAGGGCAGAAAGACTGGTGCACATTGCCTACGGTTCAGTTGTGATTGACAAAAAAACGAGAACACTTTCGAGTTGGTTGATCGATAACGTATGGAGATAAACAAACGCGAACATCCACACACGCACCCACATGTGACCAAATTGACTCGGCTTGTATCGAAGAGAAAGGAATAGACATTATTAAAAAGGTCTACCGGGACAAACGAGTGGAAGGAGAACGGTGGAGTGAGTGTTCATTCGAAGATGAGCTAAATTGAGACTGTTCATTACCCTACCGGCACAGAACTGGGCCTGTGAGTCGGATAGGGTGGAAGAACATCAATTTCAGTCTATCATTGTCCAATTAGGTGAAACAATTTAAAATCTACCAGACACTCAGAAACGTTTCCAGAGGGTGCGTGTGTGCGAGGGTGGAGAAGGGGTTCTTGGGGTGGGGGTACGCTTCTAGTGTGTTTAATTCGTTTCTTCAGGTTGTTATGTGCACTTGTCTGCAGGACGAAATTCCGGAAATACAAAACGGAGCAATATATTTCGTTTCAGAGCACTGCTGGATTCATTCAGATAGACAGCCTATGGAAACAGTTAGGGTGAGTTCATAACGTTGTGTGAATCGTATCTGCAAGGGGAACCGGGAAAGAATAATGCATAGATGAGCAACTGCAAAAGATCTCCGGGGCTTAGACTAATTTATTCCCATATCATCATGAGCCGAGCTGACCTACGGGAACCGTTTATTCCACTGATAGAAATTCCCGATGCGCTAAAATGAGGATGTGCATTGAGTAGGGAAAGAAATAAACAATGACGAATTGATGCAACTAACAGATATTATTGTCGAAGAAAAAGGAGAATGAATAATAACTGAAACACAGAGCAATAGTTTTATCTTTTTACAATGAATGAAGCTGAAGTGGAATGAGCGTATTTGAATCGGCAACCCCCAATTCCGAGGAAACCCATTAACAACGTCGATTATTGAAATCAGCGATTCGTTTGAACTAGGAAATTAATGCAGTTGTGACCTGACAAGGCCCTTCAATCAGCACTGATTCACAATACACCTTTGTAATGTTGGCTCTTAGTTACACGCTCGATCCCATGCTAGAGTGCGCCCAAGTTATCCTTTGTCGTTTATCCCAATTTGCGTAACTGAATATTGATTGGCAGTTGAAAGGGAACTCTACTAGTACGATCACTGCATCATTCAGCAGCGTTATAGGTTGCTTTAACGAAGCCCACTTTGCTCGTAATTGCTTGTATCTTTCCGTTGAATAATCCAAATTGTGGGTGTACGCATCATTAAATATTAAACTATTTGTCCGATTGGCTCTTCATTGATCACGATTAATTAATCGATTTGGCAAGATCAAACTGGCTTTGATGTCTGGTTGAGATCACTACTCACAGTTATCAGTTATTGATCTTCAATCTATTCATCGCTAAATAAAAGTTACGTGGATGATGTGCGCAACTGAGGTCGTTCAACTCGGTATTCACTTAGGAAACGCAGCCGTGTTTCTCAAAATCCTCCATCTCTCTCTGTTTACATATCCAACCAATAAGAACTGGTTGCACACACAAACACAAACTTATCCCACCTCATTTCGTATTCAATTTCATCGTATCTTAACGCTAATCCCAAAAAATGCCTTGAATGTATTTTTTATTCTAAACGGTTCCCCATCTCCATCAGACAATGTGCAGATTCATAAGAAGCCGATGAGCAGGGTCAGCCATGTGAAGTACTTAGGTGTTACACTTGAAAGTAACCGTCGCTGGTCTTTACAAACCTAAACTGTTGCTCGCGAACCAAAAGTTCTCTCCTTTCAGATACGATGGCTGCACCATTTCTGTTCTGATTCGTCAGTGATAGAATCTTTTGCTCAACAATGTGTTCCCCCGTTACTGTCCCTCTGTGATTTTCCCTGATTTTCTGAAGGCCGATTTCAATCTGCTGAGGCTTGGCCTCTGAAAGAACAATCCTGTACTCAATTTCCTTTATCTGTTCTGATTGACAATAACTGTGATGCTCATATTGATGCGTGCTTGAAGTTTGTTGACATTATTCTATCTGATGGCACCCATCCTTAGCACCTTGCCCTGTGTGCATGCAAATCCCATCCCTCCATTCGTTCTAAATACAAACTTATCCCATCTCAGATATCCGCCTACAGAAACTCTTTGGTACCTATCTTGCCCGGGTACTAACCAAAATGCGGAGTGCTCTTTCTGAGCTTTCTAGTGCATTTAGTAAGTAATTCACATTGTTGCATGTTTGAATTGTGTCAGCGGTCTTTTTTGGCCTGAAAGCTTGCATATAACTCACCAAAGCTCCAATACAATGTAATATAATAAAACATACTCTGTTGATAAACGAATGAGAACCTCACTTTAACGAGACAAATCATGCACATTTTTATCCAAATGCCTAGAACTGTGCTTTTCATTTCCAAAGTGATGTAAATGAACCGCCTGATTTTCATTCGTTGTTCGCAGTTGAACTTCAGTCAGTCACTTGCTCTTTACGGACACATGTCAAGTGGCCTACAGTGCAAGATGAAGGATCTGTCTGATATTCCCATCATACGGGTACGGAATGAATGTAATTCCTATTAGGCTATCAGTGTGTGAAAAGCCGATAAAATCACTGTTTGGATATGTATAAGGCATTTTTTTGCACAACCCATTCTGTGTGCTCAAAAACAATTTGTGCACGCGCTAAAGCTGCCATAGCAGACTCCACACGCACACGCAGATATACACACATACATTATCATGAGTGATCTCGATGATCCGATGAGTGGACAAACAAATATGTGATCGTGGTGAATCCGATTTCCGGTCTCATTATGAAATCATCCCTATTACAATCTGTGAGCAATGCTGTATGCTACCGAGCATGTCCCTAGTTCGCTGATAGGAAAACGGCCGCTATCTGGCAGTTAACTGTGAATAAGGTGGGTTTATCCTCACTGAATAAGCGGTCGCAGACGATCGGTGCAGTGCTGGAGGATGTGGTCGGTTTACCACTTGGCAAGGGTTCTCCACACAAAACACCACATGTATCTTATGACAGCGCTGTGACATGGTGAGTATGGCTCACCACTGAATACGGCCATTGCGCCTTGTCGAATTCCATCAACCAGACAAGGTCTTTCAGAGAAGGCGAATGAACCAACCGACCGGTCACCGGCTTATCTGGAACAATACTACTGCCTTATAGCTCGCGCTTGGTTGCGCAAAGGCTAGAGTGCATCCTCGAACAACGCCTACTCTGGACCAGGCGACCGAGTAGTACAACAGCCCACAATGCAAACAATGAACTTCAACCTAATTCATAACTCGCTCTTTCAGTTCTCGCGCATGAAAAAACGCTCTACACCGTGCACATCTTCCTTTTCTCCAGCTTTTCCTCCGTCTCACATTCACATCCCTCAAACGTTAAAATAATTATCAAGATCTCCAGACAACCGTACTACCAGTTGTGACTCCGATGGAAATTCCGTCCCTTTACTCTTGCATCCTGCCTCGAATAGCGTCCATGCTTCACTGAATCCTCTTCCACCCGTTGAAGCTCTTCTTCGTTCTCGATGCCCATTTAAACTAGCCACATTTAACGTGCGTAGAGGACAACAGGCGTGTTTAGCTCGTACCCTCG